CACCAAGGCTAAGAGGAAGATATATGTCTTGAAATAAGAGGATTTGACCTAATTACGGGTTCATGGAAAGCTTCCCTAAGGTGGTGACTACTGAGCTGAGATCTGAAGGATGACTAGGAACATACCAAGCACAGCAGAGAGGATGTGCAAAAGTCCTGTGGTCGTGGCAGTGGGAGGGGAGAGTGAACAGTTCGAGGGTACCACGCAAGTATGGAAAACTGAAAGGAGGCCAGTGGGACTAGAGGGGAGACAGAGAGGAAGAGTATGGCTGAAAACCAGGTTAAAGACACAGCCATACCAAGTAGGACCTTGTAAGCCAATTGAACTTACAGCTGAAGGATGGATTCCAATTCCATAAGGCCATGATTCCACCCAATGCCTGCCCCTTTTGTTTTTGTTTTTTTGGTAGCAATGGTCAAATTCCAAGTCGTCTTCATTGGTGTCTAAGTTTGTGGTGGTTCCAAATGGATGCGGGGGACCATATTTCCTTGTGCCAATAAATCTATGTTTTTATGCCCTAGGTTAGTGTGACTTTCAGCAGGTAGGAATAATTTCTTTTTAAAAAATTATGCTTTGAATTAAGTTACTTATGGGTATAATGGATTATAAATAACATGGTGTGAGCTACTGAAATCCAGTTCACTTTTCATGTGTGCAGTAATAAGGTGCAGTATAATTTATGGTTTACAAATTTATAGACCTAGAGTCATAGCTCCAGACTACAGAATGTAGAATAGTTTCCTTTTAAATTTCAATTTTTCTTCTAAAACTGGCTGGTGAAAACTTTACTTTTGCATTTCTGTGGCAATATCAATCCCTGTTTCTTCTTAGTATTTCAGAATTCAGAAATCACATAATTTTAAAATTGGAAGAGATCTTCATAGGTCATCTAACTTACCTCCTCCTACTTCCTCTGGAAACAGTCATGTCTGTATATCTGGGCAAGGTGAAAGTCCCTCCTTTAATAAAAAGATATCTGGAAAACTATTTTCTCTCCGAATGAAGGTCTGTCATCTAGTAATTCTTATAGAGTTCCACCCCAAAACATTGCTTATATTTGTCAAATATCCTCTGGTACTTGTGAAAATAGTGAAAGGGTTCATATTATTGAGGATACCCTGGGGATTTTTAGGGCAGTTCCATATAGGGGACTAATAGTATATGTAAGAATGACTGAGGTCAGACAGACCCCAGCAGCATGAGAAAAAATATCTGCTAAGCCCTGGGATAAGGGATAGGTTTTTGAATTAATTTATGTAAACCAGAGCCATAATTATGAAGTGTAAAGAACACACGTGAAAAAAAATGAGATGATAATTAGATCCTAAAAAGCATCTGAGGTATTGGAATGTGAGCTTGGAGATCTACTGAAAAGGGTCTATCTATCACCACTAAGAGAAAAATACTATAGCTATAAACATGAAGTTTTGCTCAAAATAAAGAAAAGTTCTTACACTTTGGGGAGAATGAAGTAGGGATAGGTCAACGTAACAAAGCAAATAAACTATTTAACATGATCATTCCACCCTCTGTGTCTCTGTGTCATGATTTTATGTTTTGATATGCTAATAGTCAGTTCTTAGAAACTGATTGAGAATGGAATACCTGCATAAGGAAATTTTAAAGGTATGCAACTCCAAGAATGTAAGGTATTTGCATTTTTTCACAAACTAGCCTCCTTAGTTTTTGAACACGAAAAACTGTCTCTCCCTTTCCTGCAATCTGTGGCTTTTCTTGTAGGATTTCCTCACCCAAAGGATGACACCCTGTCTCCTCATGGGAGTGGTTTGTAAATGACAATCCCCTGAGCCCTGTAGAGAATTCACTTGAAAATTAATTCCTCCATGTACAAGCAACAAATAAACAGACAGATAGGTCTAGGACATACCCAGATCGCTTGTAATGTTCTTCAATTCTTCTGGAAAAACAAAACCCTATGGAAACCAGTCATTCACTGCAAGCTCAAATCTGCCATGGAAACGATAGCAAACAATAAATGGCAGCATGAAATTAAGTGACAAATTGTGTGATATGGACAACTATTTGTATAGAAATTCAGAGCAAAGGGATGATTGTTCTGAATGGGATGAAGTGGCAATAATTTACTGAGTACTAACATATGCTAAAGCCCTTCTGAGTGTTCTCCACAAATCATCTCATTTAATTTCACAATGGCTTTATGAGGTGGTGCTGTTATTAATCTCATTTCACAAAGGAGAAAAATGAAGCTCAAACGGTTTTAGTGCCCACAATTACAAGTAAGTCGATCCAAGTTCAAACTCAGGCAGTGTGACCTGTCAAAGAAGGGCTTCGAGCCTCCATCTTGGACTACAACCCAGCCTGGACAATCACGCAAGGAATAGCTTTCGCATCCCGGCCAAGCCTGGGCCAGGGAAGAAAATGTGTTAAACAGCTAGCAGCCTAATTGTAATGTTTGAAGCTCTCTTAAATATTTAGTTTTACTAAACTTCAGACTTTAGTTAGCTGTTCTTTACCTTTTTAAACTAGTACTATTTTAAAATTACCATAGTTCCTTTACAAAAGGGACACTTGGTCTTTCACTGAAAATAATGAGGTAAAAATTTAATAATGCTAACAAAGGTCAAAACCACAGAACACAGAATAAGCAACTGGAAGTCTCAGCTCCTCGGATTTCAGAACTGTAAGAGAGCTCAGGAGGCATTTAGTCGGCAGAGGAACTAAGGAAGTCCAGAGAAGAGAATGACTTCCTGCAAAGGCACCCAGCATGGTGACCTCACAGGCAGCATCAGAAGCCCATGCAGTCACTGACTACGTAAAGATGCCAAATTGTTCATTCTGTATCAAACTGAATAGCATATATTATATAATTTTCACAGTATTATGTGCTGGGCCAGACCCTCCCAATTTTTAACTAATTCATGGGAGTAACTAAGAGATATATCAAGTCTTTTAGCTTATTTGGAAGCATGTGCCTTCTACAACCCACAAGATATATCTTTCACAACAACATTGTGTCCAATCAATCCTTTCTTGAACTCTGCACTATGGTCTTCTAACCTCTGTTTATGCACACACATGATTTTCAACATTTTGGCCTTATTTGGGGAAGACAATGAGCGATCAGGCTTTCATTGTTAAAATGAATGATTCTATATTCATACACACAAAAATTAAATGAAGGAAGAGTAGAATAAGCAGCAGGGAAGAGATAATTTCCCTCTTTTACATTTATAACTTCCCACAAGAGCCAAATCTAACCACACTTAGGACATTTCTAATACTTGGAGTTGTTAACGCTTTAAAAAAAAACCAAACACTCAACTATTCAACTACTGGCATATATTTTAAATTGTTTTTAATTTAATATGTTTAAATGTCTTTTTTCTTTGCTGTGTATTCAATGAAAGAAGCAATTATTAAAAAAATTATTTGCTTTTACATTAAATATAAAAATGGTCGCTGAGATAGGAAACACTTGTAACCACCACCAATTTCTTGTTCTTTCCTTTAGTTAGAATTTCCATTCTCAGAAACAAGATTGTGATAGTTAAAGGTGGTATTTATAACATATTATATAAATTCTACTGGTGGAGTGAAGGCACTTTGTTTCATCTAAGTTACTTAGTTCAAGCATTATGTATCATACAATGAATGTCATATGATGAAAGTTAATATTTTGATGTGATTGGAAGGGTACAATTTTAGTCATAACTCCTTAATTCTAATTAATTTCAATATCAATCACTTTGGTTCTTTATTCATTAAAATATTTTTTTACATATCTATATATAAATACTGTAGAGATGAATCTACTAAGTGTCTGTTTTAACTCTTTTATATCACCCTATTAATGTTAATTTTTCTAGTTCTTTTTGTCTCTTGGTGTTTTAAAATATCCTCCTAAACAAATTAATAAGTGCAATAAAATAAATTACAAATTTTTTTTCTTAGTTGAGGTCTTCCAATATATGCTGAACTCAATGTATTATTGTACATTACTACAAATAATGATATGAAAAGTCTCAGAGAACGGTATTACATTTTTACTGTCCCCAGAACTCTAATAATATTTTGCTTGTTATTATTTTCTAAAAGTGAAATGAAGAGAAAGCACTCTGTATACTTAGAGGATTTAGATACTCGATTTTCATAGAAGACTGAATCTCTTTCCTCCTTCCTTCTTACACACACACACACACACACACACACACACACACACACACACACACACACACATTCATGCTACATAACAGATGACCTTCTTCTTTCAACTATATATTTTATGGCAAATCTGTCTTCAAAAGTGCTATGCGTTATCGGAAAATTAACATTACAATTATAAAGTTAATATTCATTTTTAATAATCTTTGAATTATAAAAGTATAATTTTTATTTAACTTTTCAGGGAAAAGCTATTATGTAAAACAAGGCTCATCTGTGTTCTAAAAAACATTTTTGCATGCTACTTTTTATTTTTTAATATTTAAAAAAAACTGCCTTCTTGCATTTTTATTTTACATATACAACTTCAATGGACTTTCTTACATTTTCCACCTCATTTTTCTGATCTAAATAATGTGGCCAAATAGTTCTAAAAGAGCACTGAGACAACTATCATCCACAAACTAAATGTTCAAATTACACTCTGTCTGCCTCTCTGATGAACTGATAAATGAGTATCCAGTCAGAGACATCATACTAACACAATTTTCCAAACAACCTATCCAGACAGATGTGGCTTAGACACATAAAGGCACATCCAAGAGCAGCATTCCAATCTCAACTACATGTTTATGGAGCTTCGGAAACGTTGGTCCTTCTTTTTGAGTCATTAGGCTTGAGAGAATATATTTTGACAACTAAAATACTATTCTAGAAAAGCAACAGTGAAATCTGGGTTCTTCAGAATCAAGTGATTTACTATGTGGATTATTCAGGTTGCTAAGCTTTAAAGCATAGCTGAAGACCTAGGATTCTCATGCAATTACAAGTTTAAAGTGAGATAAATTGGCACTCACAGTTGTGGCAGGTGGCCCCACTGTATCCCGTCTCATCACAAGTGCATATGAAGCTGTCCCACGTTTGCGAGCACTTCCCACCATGCTCACAGTGATTGGGCACACATCTGTCAGAGAAAGAGACAAACAGAAATAAACCAACAAACAAATGAGATTTATGAGTGGCTAAATTCCAAGCTGTCTGGGCAATGTATCATTCCAATGCCAGGTTGCCTTACCAAGGCAATTAATCCTTGTTAGTTTAAACAGATTAATATGATTCATGATGGAAGGTGCCAAGTGCACAAAAGATGATGTATCACAGGCTTGGTGTTTCCCATTTTTGAGTAAACAGTAGAAATTAACAAACAGTTGAGAGATTCATTTGCACATCACAGATTCATTTTATTTTCCTTTTGCAAAAAAAACAAAGACACTAGCTAAATTTCCTCCTGGTGAGAGACAGAACATTAGCCATCTTGTTTCCTGTACTATCCTTTATCAAGGCCAATAGTACCAAGTCAGAAAGGGGTTAAGGCTGAGTTGTTTTTTTTTTATATAGCAATATGAGTTTCTGAAATAATGCCACAGCAATGAGAATATACTAGCCTCATAAGAAAAGATTTCTAAGTCTTCCTTACCCCTCCTCCCATGCCCCGCCGGCTAATGAAAGCCACCTTTATAAGGAGGCAGCAAGTATAATATGGGGGAAAAATGCAGGTTTTGTGTTCAAATCTTTGTCTTTTTATTTACTTAATAGCCAGTTATGATGATGTAATTTAACCTTTCTGATCCTCAATTTTCTCATTTTGTAAAATGGAGTAATTATACCTATCTGATAAGTATTGGGTTGGCCAAAAAGTTCATGTTTTTTCCTTAACATCTTATGGAAATGAACTTTCTGGACAACGCAACAGTTTTGAGATTAGGAGGTAATGTTCATAAAGCAGATAATTAATAGGCAAGAAATAGAGGGCCAATAAACAGGAGCTATGGATATCTGAACCACTGCTTGCAGGGCACTGTTTTATAGTCTGCCTGTATCCTAGCAATAGTGAAGCTGGAATTTGTTCTGGAAAACTCCTGTTTCAACAGCACAAATTATTTTCTTCTTATGTATTAGCATTCACAAAATATTTCTAGCTTTGAATAGGAAACTCTCTAAAGTAGAAAAGTCCACCCAGATTAAAAAGGCAGAACCCATAATAGAGGGTCACAGGTTGCCTGATGGAGAGCCACACTTTGAACACCAATAATCGTAAAGCCCTGGTAGCGTCTTGCTGCAAAACAGAATAGGACTGGCCTCAGAGATAATATTCTCCATCCCCTGTTCCTGACTTACCATCAGCCATGCCTAAAACTACCATAGCAGGGCACAGACCAGTTTGGCATGGAACTCTGTTTCTTATATAGGGATGCTGTTCCTCTACAACTCTTTGCAAACCTCTAGTCATGCAACAAACAATTACTGAGCACTGTGGGAAACAGAAGATGAACAAGAGTCTATTCACTGCCTTTCAAGAGCTTAAGCCTAGGAGGACAGGATTTTAAGAGAAGAAAATGAGAGGAAGAACATTATAAGGGGGGAAAATACAACATAAGAGAGCATGATACTGGATTTTCAGGAGGTGGGATGGAAAATTCACTCTACATTTAATAGGCAGTTCTATTCCATATGAATTTGGACTTGGTGTTATCCAGGCTACAAAAATGTTTCTTCTCCAAAGACTCTATAACCTACGTGGAGGTGAGGGTGGGGGATAAGATTCATGCGAGATACAATACTAGGCAGAATCTGATCTGTCATCAGAGTGATATGAAACGTACAGAAATGTGGAGACCAGAGTAGTTATGGGTAGACTGTAAACAAAGGGCTTAATCAAGCTAAGAGCATTTCGCTTGGGCCTTAAAAAGAGAAGTTCCATTTTTATAATTAAAATATTGAAAACTGTTCCCAGCAGAGCAAGCAAGAAAGCAAGAAGGAAGAGTTAGAACCACGGTCAGTGGGTGGGTAGCCCAGGGTTGTTCAGGTCTATTGCCAGAGCCATTTCCCTCTACAGGTACCCAGGCATAGGCCTTATCAGAAGGCATTTATATCCAAGAGTCCTGATTCTCCAGACCATGTGGGGAAGCAATGATACAGACACTCCAAAATTACATAAAGCTAAAAAACATCTTTGATACTTAATTTGGGATTTCAGTACTTGTATGCCTTTGTGTGGTATATTTACCTTCTAAGTTGTTGTGGGTTAACAGTAACTCAGTCTAATAGTGAAAGTAATTTACATCAGCTCATTATATCAATTAATTCAGGGGAAGTAGTACAGAGTCTCGAGGGGAAACCAGGGTGGAATCTAAATGTGCTCTAAATAATGCACAAATGAGAAAATCCATGTCAAAATGATCAAAAATACTGGTGTGTACTTACACACACATAAGCGTTTAACAGTCAAGTGAGGTTAACTGAACATTTATAAAATTCAGTATTATTTCTTTAAAAGTGATCTTTTATTTAAATAAAATGTTAAATATTTTATTTTAAATGTTTGTTTCTTAATATTTATCTTTTTAAACTGACATTATCCCTATGTTGATTACTGGCATTTTAATTCCTAATGGTGAGAAATGTTTTATTTCTAAATCAAATTGATTCAAATATAATTTCAAACCATAATATTTTATCACTATATTAAAAAAAATGTTAGAACCAGTTACCAAGCAAAATAAAACCTGAATTAACCTAGCTTTCCCCTTCCTAATTATTTCTTTCTTCTCTTGTACTCCTATGGAACCATTTGTATTTGTCCAATATACCATCATCACATTGTTCAGTAATTATTTGTTTGAGCATCTGTCTCTTCTAAACTGAGACTCCACAGTGAGGGATTCTGATCTTTTGATTCTTAGCCCACTCAGCAAATGCCTATTGACAGACTGAAGGAATGGATGAACACAACACTAGAAAGTTACACCAAGGAACTGAAGTAATTTCAGAGAAAATATTTTTTACTGTGAGAAATATAGATTATTTCTATGTACGATTTTAGTCTTAAATCCAGACTCTTGCTCTAGTGAACTAATTATTTTAGTAGGTCACAGGAAATGTATAATTTGTTTCATACCATGTGCTAGCTTGAAAGTTTGATCCACATCAAAAAATTAATCAAAATGACTTTGCTGCCACGACTTGAGAACTACTTGACCAGGATCAGGAACATACAGGGGAGAAGTTGGCAGGTGTCAATTTGTTGTGATCAAAGGGCTCCGGAAGAAGTGATGCATTCAATTAACTCTGTTCGGAGGTAGCCCTGTTATTAGAGACACTTTCAGCTGGAATCATGCTTTCCGTTGTGGCAATGCTTTCCAAAATGCTTTAGAACCGAAAAGCTGTATTTGGAAATTCAAATATATAACAATTACTTAATATAAAATCTGTATGAACAGAGTGGCTGTTTGGATGGATGCAACAACTCTATCCAGGGTTATGGATGACAGGTGCAGTTTTATTTTACCCAGATATCTCTTTTATCTCTATACTTGATTTTAATTGCAAAGCATTGAGAAAATTGGTATTCACAATTATAAGAAACTGAGAATTGTACCACATTTGTTTGTAGCAGCACACTTTTTAGGCTATGGATACTAATTACTTAAACGGGGATAGTGGAAGAAATTTTATTTCAAATCTAAAAAATGTTAATCTGACAGCATAACTGACTGCACTGGTAGTCTTCGAAGCACTTTGAAGGTGCTGTATTTCCTTTTCTCTACAGTATTTAAAAATTAAAATAGTTGTATTTATTTTTTTATTTTTTTGAAGTATAGTTGATTTACAAGGTTGTGTTAATTTCTGCTGTACAGCAATGTGATTCAGTTATACATATACTATACATACATTTTTACATTCTTTTTCTTTATGGTTTATCACAGGATATTGAATATAGTTCCTTGTGGTATACAGTAGGACCTTGTTGTTTATCCATTCTATATATAATAGTTTGCGTCTGCTAACCCCAAACTCCCAATCCATCCCTCCCCTACCTTGCCTCCCCCTTGGCAACCACAAGTCTGTTCTCTATGTCTGTGAGTCTGTTTTTGTTTCTTAGACATGTTGATTTGTGTCGTATTTTAGATTCCACATGTAAGTGATATCATACGGCATTTGTCTTTCTCTTAGTATGATAATCTCTAGGTCTATCCATGTTGCTGCAAATGGCATTATTTCACTCTTTTTTATGACTGAGTAGTATTCCATTGTGTATGTATATATGTGTATATATGCATGTATGTGTGTGTGTGTGTGTATATATATATATATATATATATACCCACATACATGCATATATATATATATATACCACATTTTCTTATCCAGTCATCTGTCAGTGGACACTTAGGTTGCTCCCATGTCTTGGCTATTGTAAATAGTGCTGCTATGAGCATAAGGGTGCATGAATCTTTTTGAATTATAGTTTTGTCCAGATATATACCCAGAAGTAAGATTGCAGGATCATATGGTAACCCTATTTTTAGTTTTCTGAGAAATCTCCATACTGTTCTCCATAGTAGCTGCACCAATTTACATTCCAGCCAACAGTGTAGGAGGGTTCCCTTTTCTCCACACCCTCTCCAGCATTTGTTACTTGTAGACTTTTTCATGATGGCCATTCTGACCGATGTGAGGTGGTACCTCACTGTAGTTTTGATTTGCATTTCTATAATAATTAGTGATATCGAGCATCTTTTCATGTGCCTGTTGGCCATCTGTATGTATTCTTTGGAGAAATGTCTAGTTAGGTCTTCTATTTTGGCCCATAAAATAGATAGTTTTAAATAAAATTCAAATCAAATCTTTGTGTTACCCCTACAACTACATTTGGTTCTGGAGAACCCAATGTAAAATCCACAGTGCCAGCACAAGGGCTTCAGAAACAGGCTCCCACAAAACCAAATCACAATTAACCAGAGAGTGTTTATCAGAAAAGCTAGCTGTTACAAAGATCCCAAGATACTGGTATGCAAAAGCAGTGTTTCTCAAAATTTTCTGTGCAGGGGAATCACTTGAAAATCTTATTAAAATGAAGATTCTGATTCCTTAGGTCTGGGGTGAAGTCTGAGATGCTCCTCG